GGTCCAGCGTTTCCTGGGTTGGATTTGAAAGAAAGATCTCCACTTAAACGTGATAGAATTGATTTAAATGTACAAGTGGCAGTTAATATTTGACGTGTTGTTGAACATTGTAAGTATCCAGGATACCATATCATTTTACCAACTTTTAAATCTTTGCCCTAATTAATTAGCTGCCTTATCATACACTAAAACGCTATTGTCATATTTAATTAACCGTGTGCTAAAACCATTTAACATCAATGTACAAGTTTAATTACACCATTAAAAGGTGACTCAGACTATGTAGTTTGCTTAGATACTGTGTGCTTAATGTTGCCATTTCTCAGAACCTTACAAAAATGTCAACAAATATTTACAGAAAAATTACTGTTTAAAAGATGCACTTCATAATTTTTGAAAATTTAATTTGCACTTTAAATCTTGTATATCGCCAAATACATTGTTTAAATGAAATGCTGTAAAAAGACGGTGAAAAAATACAGAATACAAAGCGTGAATACAAAAAAAATCCTGGTCCAAGGCAACATTTATTTCTGATAAAGCATGATTAGATTGAAGTTCTGGTGTATACATTGTACATGTTTTCATATAAACACGCAGACCCTACAATGTTGACTAATGAACATATAAATTTCATTTTCAATTACATACCAGTTACATGATAGTATAAGTTGCTAAGTATGCCTTATAACCATTCATCTAGAAGTGATTGCTGGTAAGGCCATCGATCACAAAATTTGTCCTCTATGTCTCGCAGCAACAGTTTATTGTTGGCAAGTTCATTTGGGAGAAGATATGAAAAATATGTCAAATGTTGATAGATTTCATGGACGATACCATGCTGGACCTTTGATCATAGTTCTGCACTAAAGTTGTTGTGCATGCGTCATTATTTGCCCTTTTACCCGATCCATGCCTCTGACATTTAGACCCCAGATTATGTTGGTTTATCCATTACCCTGAATGCAAATCTTCCATGCTGTTTAGTTGGTGAAGCGTTTTCTTCTCATTTTGATCTTGTTTTCCTTTGAGCCAGACACAAATATATTCTGTTTGTTCTTTGTTTGATCCCTAGGTCAATATGCTTATTTCTTACAACAAATTTAGGCTACTGACCAGCTGTGTTATATAACTGACTAAGAAATAATGTTATCCTTTGGTATCTGTCTTCTTTCAGTTACAGTGACATTGACCTCCACCAATGACATTTTTTGGGCTTACTCTATGTACAAGGTATATATGTGTTTGTTGAAGATATTTGATATGCTGTAAAACTGAAACTGTCATGTGGAAGAAAGCAAATTAACTGACATGTAACAAAAAAGCGTCATATTACAATAAACACTATCGAAATGATAGTCATACAAAAACAAAGACCTATTATACATAAAAGCTCGGTCAAAAGTGTGGTCTCAATAACAATAATGCGATGAAACCATACTCAATACTGACTGAATAATACTGTCTTCAAGGCAATAATAATAATAATAATAATAATAATAATAATAATAATAATAATAATAATAATAATAATAATAATAATAATAATACTTGATGAGGGTAATGAAGTTTCAATGTACTATTCTTCCATGGGACCTTTGCGCTGAATAAGCTATTTTGAATGCAAAAAAATAAAAATAAAATACAACAGAGTACTCTTAAATACAACAAATATAAAAATTATATAGTGTTTATGATATGCAAGAAAAGAATAATTGTCATACGTGTATTTCAATATTTGCAATGAAAGCTGCTTTTCAAGACTATAGTCATATATTTGTCTCCCATAAGACCTTCACGATGAACAGACTTGTAAATACACACCCACCCACCTACAATATTTAAGTATGATTAAATACAGTAAGAACAAATAATTCATGCTGTATAGAATATGCATCAATATAATAATAGAAGAGTGAAGCAGATGAAAAAGAAAATGATGGTGATGAAGATGAAGAACTTAAAGAGGGTAACTCAGCTATATTGTATTTTCTCCCTATAGATCATAAGTAGAAACTAACAATAATTGTGAATGCCCCAAAATAATAACACAATAAACCACATGTGTAGAGTTCTTTTCATACTGACCTTTTCCTTTAATGTGCTCGGGCATTATCTTTTTTCAAAGGCAACAAATATGTTTACACTGAATTTTTACAAAGATACTAAATAGATTTTAACGTCTTATATATCTCTCAGTTAACTTAAAATGTATTTTGTTCATAGTAGATATGGTTTGGATTTGAGGAGTAATTGTAATTAAATGACCATGGATGGTCATCTTGTGAACTATATTATCACAGACTTTCAAGTATATAATGAGATGTATGGTATTAAAGGTATTCTAGTTTACCACAGTATTTGTTTCCAGTGGTACAAGAAATGTTGCCTTTTAACTGCACCTAGTGATGCAGTGCTTCGTAAAGCATACAGAGTTAGTCTAAATCAAAGATGTGTGGTTACAACTTTATTTATTTATTATACAATGAAATAAACATACCTAGCTACTTCTATTAATCACAATAACAGTCCTATGAAAGAAGCAAATAGTCTATGACATACATATAAAACGTTTAGAAATCACACAATTTCACTATCTGATATTAATCAGCTAAACACAATACTTTCTCTTTGAGAAAAGCATTGTAGTTTCAATAATGTCATATTTAAGAAGCTCACTCACCAGCGTACCCGTTCAAATTGTATATGACAACACGAGTTTATGAAATTAGTCTTGTCCACAAATCATGAGTTTTAAAACATACATTGGCTATTATTTCATAGGCAATGATTGGCAAGGTTCTTTATTGATAATAACCCTTACCTGCGGAATCCGATACATATTCTAACTCTAATAAGCAGTTTCTTGCAAGGATTGTGCACAAATACATGGATAAATACATACTTTAGCTAAAGCGATGCAAGAATCTTTAGCTACACGTAATGTAATCAAAATTGGTACCTGTCTAAACATTTGCGTGGTGAGTTTGGATTGATTGCCCCGTTACCTTCTAAAAATATCACTTTTTCAAAAAGTTAAATAATTCAACATTTTAACAGGAATGAGCCTGTTGATCTTGAAATAATGGCTTGTGAGTGATCAATGTTGTGTACAGTTCAACATGGCAATAATGCAAGATGTAAGATTTATTTAATATTAATATGATTTTGAAATAACAAGGGTAAGGTGCTATTGCACGCTGCAACTGTTTGGTATGTATTAATTACGTGGAATAAGGTAACTTCCAAGTGCATAATACATCAGTTTGATACGTGTTCTATACATAGCAATATGGTAACTGCAGGTGCATAGTACATCAATCTGTTATGTGCTTATACATATTTGAATAAGGTAACTTGCATATATATATATATATATATATATATATATATATATATATATATATATATATATATATATATATATATATATATATATATATATATATATATATGTATGTATGTATGTGTGTGTGTGTGTGTGTGTGTGTGTGTGTGTGTGTGTGTGTGTGTGTGTGTGTGTGTGTGTGTGTGTGTGGTACATTGGTGGGGTTCAAAACACACCAACCTCTTCTACTATGGTTCGTTGCTAGGGGATGACCTCCCGCGGTGTAATTTACCCAGAGTGGATAGATAGAAAGAAGAATGCAGATCTCTGAACAAGGATATTGAAGAAATAAACACAACAAGCCCCTTTCAATAAACATAAAATTTAATCAATTTAACAACCAAATTTAAAATGAAAGAAATCAATTTCTTTGTTACAAAAGAAAGAAGAAATGTACTAACGTATACTCAATAAAAGCAATACAACTTTTCTTTACTATTACTTGTCAGTGACGTAATTAGTTCAGTTCATCATTGCTTACTAGATGCGACCTTGAGACCAACAATGAATGACATCATCACCTATCTTAACCGGGAATCGAATTCTCCGTTCGTTCCTGCACTGCCAACCTTTATGTACTCGTTTCCATGATAGTTGCTACAAGGGCACGAAAACAAGGCTCAAAACTACTATACCAAGTATTACATTAGGTTCGAACACTTCGACTGATACGTACAATCACAACTTTTAATGCAATAAAGACATGTAAAATGTTGATTATTATTGTCCCTTTTTCATTATGCTATGATACATTACTTTTAAACATACACTAAATCAAATGACTCCAAATATATCCGCACATTTAATTTTATAGACATTTGAATAGTTTGGTTGTTAATACGCCAGTAGGAAGCATTGGAAAAGCTTATGTTAGTACCAAAGCATCGTGGCACATTGCTTTCTTTCTCCCTGGGGCTGGATCCTTCCTTTATCTCTGAATTTTGTGTATTTTTACGCTCAGAGCAGCAAGTATTGTATTTATAATGGTAAACGGACAGAAAGTAACAGCTCATAACGTCACGGAGAAAATGTTATAAAAAAGCATACGACAAAAATTAACAAGACCAAAAAAGTTACATCTCAGACCTGTATTGTGAAAATCAGTATGCATGGAAAAACCTCAAAGGAAAAAAAAAGACACTTGAAAAATTTTGGTATATATATATATATATATATATATATATATATATATATATATATATATATATATATATATATATATATATATATATATATAAATATATATATATTGTGTAAGATTGCTAAGTTCAAATTTAATATCTCCACCGAATATTGAATATTGTCAATTCATTACATTATGTGATTATATCATAGAAGTGTTTCTAATATTATACTTTCATTACATGGTTTTGCACCAAATCGTTTTATTTTTGGGAAAGAGTTTCGACCATGAAAACATATCACTGAGATATAAGAGATTCTTCTCCACACTTACATAATATCTCTTTTAAAGAACCACATATTAAAATATCAAATATGGCTTGTCGAATTAAATTTTTTCTCTCTCTCTCTCTCTCTCTCTCTCTCTCTCTCTCTCTCTCTCTCTCTCTCTCTCTCTCTCTCTCTCTCTCTCTCTCTCTCTCTCTCTCTCAGGTGACCTAGTGGTTAGAGCGTCCGCCTCGGATGCGGGAGGTTGCGAGTTCTATCCTCGGCCTAGTCTTTCCAATGACTTTAAAAATAAAAAATGGAACAAACAGCTGCCTCGCTAGGCACTCAGCCTGAAAAGGTTACTATTTTGACTGGTCTGCCTGGTGTCAAAATCATGTGACTGGGTGTGAAATCAAGTCAAATGTTTGCGACATGATGCCCCGGTACTCGATATCACTATAAACAGCCACAGTGTAGACATCGTATCGATATGACTGCAAAATTGTTCAGTTATACGACTGAAACTTTGTAAAGCTACATTAAAAATCAATATCACATACACGCACACACACACACACACACACACACACACACACACACACACACATTCTCTATTGCAATTCAAGACATTGGTAGAAAAATGGAATGTTAACCGCAATCGTTTTCAGGGTTTTCCTATTTTGAATCTTTACAATAAGCCTCATTTATTGCAAATAATGCTTTGGATGGAATTACTAAAATAGTAGGCATTGATGATGAATGATGTCAACAGTATATAATACATATCTAAACATAAGGAGCAAAGGAGTAATTATAAAAAGAATCTTAATTTAAACAGCAAAACCAAAATATCTGTCAGTTTTCTTACAACCTGGACCTGTTAATTTAAATGTTCATGAATGGTATTCTTCTTTTAGAAATCTGAATGTAGTATGTGTAATCTGCCCACTCATATAAATACATGTACACCGCACAATGACTTGAAATATTCATGCAAAAGCCTAACCTGCATTTATGATTGAAATGCGACAAGCATTACACACATATCAGATTATATTTACAGTGAGAAATAACTACAATACAAAATTTATTATGAATTTTACCTCAGATTTATGCCATGAAGTTTTTCTAATAAATTTGATATTTCTGTTATGAGGTAAAAATTAAGTATAAATAAGAACATTAGAAGTCTCTCTAAAGTGTATTAAAACTAACTCTTATTTGGACTCATTTTCATTAAATTATATTGGGAGTAATTTAGATTAAAATATATGTCGATTAACTTTAACAAGTTTCCGCATTATACATGTATAAAACACATCAAGCAAAACACAGAAGCCTCTCCATATTATATATGTATATTCTAAATTCTGCTACCAAGAACACTCACTGACTAGGAATTTCAGGCCTACTGTCTGACCTCTAACTTGATCATAACACGAAGTTAGAAGTAATAAAAAAGAACAAGTGGTTCTACGAGAACAAGACTGAACTTTCTAGTTTGATGCACGCCGTTTACACGTGAATGCCAGTATAGCACCCTCAGAGTATTACTCTCAAGGCATTACCAAAGAAAGGTTAGAGATGCCTTGAACTAATTACATGTATATAGAACAGACCCAAACGCTGGCTCTCACTTTATATTGCTTTATATTGCTTGTTTTACAGGTAAGACTTTGCTATGTTCTAAACTGTCTTATAGAATAAGTACCTTTGGAAATTAAAGATTTATGATTGTAACTTTCCTATTTTTAATGTTTATATGAGTTCGTCTTTTTAATTCTAATATTATAATATAATGAATGTTTAATTGTTTTAAGAACTTATGTTTGTATTTATGATAATAGTTAAAAGAGTAAAATGTTTACCGACTTCATGTTTAGATTTATTTTGGAAATTTAAATATTATGTAAGGATTAAAGAATAATGTTTTGTAATCTATTCTAAACTAGTATTTTATCCCAAATTGAGTAATATATATTTCTTCAAAATGATTGTTGCATTAATCGCAACTATTTTATAATCTTTAATTAAGTCAAGATTTATTATCTACAACATATTCTAAAATGCGAAAGGCTACAAATACACGAAGTTGGTAAATTTGAAAGGAAAAATATTATATGTATTTTGTGTATTGTTCAATGTAAATGCTTTTCTGCCTTTGGAATGTAGTACCGTATATCTCCTATATGAAGTATATGAATAAACTAACTCTATGTTGCTTCAAGACTAGAGAGGTTCATCTTGTATTTTACAGATCCCGTATACTCTCGCTAGCCAAGCAATTCCCCCCCCCCAAAAAAAAGGATGTAGCCGTGTCTACATCATTATGCGTGACACCTTATCTTTGAGAAAGTCCGAACCCTCACTTCTTCTCTCTATCTTTCCGTCCGATCATGGAAAAGAACATTGCTAAGTGTTTACGAAATGGATTCTTAACAGCATAACAAAGAATCTTTTCGTAAAATTTCCTTGTACGTGAAGTTTTCTCAGCTTAGTGCAAGATAGGATCAAATAAAATCAAAGTAAATAATATATTGCATGAGAAATTTATATAACTTTTTGTATCATAAATAATCCATCGAATAAAAACAGTTACTCAAGTTTTCAGTGTGGTAATGTTCAAGCAAATCCAGAAAATTCAGAAATCAGTATTATAATAATAATTAAAATATAGGTTATTTATGTCCTGAGCAAAGCTACAGAAGTATTATAGACAGAGTCGGCACTATTCTACTGCTTTATACATCAAACATTATTTATAATTTAAAAAAATACTTACGTGACTGTTCCATAAATATTCTGTCTGCAAAACTGGAGAATAAAAATGGCCATTAATTTAAGCAGTACTGATAGGAAGACGTAACTTTTTTCCAATATTCTTCGGGAAAATATGAAACAAAAATCCAGTTAACTACGTTATTTTTTTTGGTTCTTTTCCTTTAAAGCCTTATAACTTTTTGACCTAACAAATAAAGAAGCATATTACATATGAATACAACTTGCAGAAATCATTATTCAGCGGAGATCATCGTTCTGTACTTACATGCTTACTTATAACACCCGAGATGATCCAACTACAATTTTGAAATAACAAGGACGCAAATTTTCCCCCGTGCTCAATGTAACAAACACCAGTGTAATTAGGTTCAGACAAGTGTAATTAGGTTCAGACCAGTGTAATTAGGTTCAGACCAGTGTAATTAGGTTTAGACAAATAAATAAAAAAGCCGAGAGGTTAAGTTCTTATCAGGAATGTGAATTGCTTTTCTAATTAATTACTGTGCAAGGAATGTCGTTAATTGGTTTTACTTGTGAAGTAATAAGGATTTGTACATGTACACATTTTCAATTATATATATATATATATATATATATATATATATATATATATATATATATATATATATATATATATATATATATATATATATATATATATATATATATATATATATATAAGCAGTAGAAATCTCTGTATGCACGTTTACCCAACTCGCAAGGTCATATACATTTTTCTTAAATTTATCTATATTATTTTTTCACTCATAAAAGAAAAAACTATAGCCTTGTGCTAATGGTTTCTATATGGGTCTCAAGCTGTTGTTAGATGTTAAATTCAAGAGCGAAACCTGTAGTAAATCATGGTGTACTTAAATTTACCTGTCAGTCATACATTAATCAAATAGAACTATTACACTTAGTAAGAAGAAAACAAAGATTTATAATGATAAAAGTACACAACCACATAAGGAAGGGGAATCAATCCAAGTTTAATTGAAAGGTAAAAAATGGGAACCTGCCCTTGTAATAATAAAATACAGCGAAATGTCATACACAGTTCGCATCAAAGATGGTACCATTTATAATTGTAATAGATGTGAGCTCATAAAAACTAAGGAAACAAACCCCCTACTATGTTATATAAATGCGCCATTTTCTCAAATTGAAAACACAGTGTATAGCTGTATCACTCTACACAAATGCCAGTAAGTCAGTTTCAGAATGAATGGAGTCTCAGTGTTTCAGTCACAGTACGCCTGATTCTGACGCGACAATCCCACAAGAGGGTATATATATATATATATATATATATATATATATATATATATATATATATATATATATATATATATATATATATATATATATATATATATATATATATATATATATATATATATGAATGCATGCATGCATGCATGCATGCATGCATACATACATACATACATACATACATACATACATACATACATACATACATACATACATACATACATACATACATACATACATACATACATACATACATACATACATACATACATACATACATACATACATACATACATACTTACATACATACATACATACATACATACATACATACATACATAAATATAATGCATTCTCAGTCTGTCTCAGAGATTTATTCATTAATCATTGTAATCATTGCTATCAAAGACGCGCTTGATTTTGATATATTAGTTATAATGTTCATTTCTCTTTTCATTTAATAATAATAATAATAATAATAATAATAATAATAATAATAATAATAATAATAATAATAATAATAATAATAATAATAATAATAATAATAATAATAATAATAATAATCTTAATAATAATAAATTGATGACGAAGACACAATTATTAAAAAGGCTATTTTTCTTTGTGTCCCTCAGTTATCTACATATGTATAAGAAAATATATAAAATAAAGCTGAGAAACATATCATACAGAAAAGGTATACTGATTGATATACAAAGAAACAATTAAAGATATATATATATATATATATATATATATATATATATATATATATATATATATATATATATATATATATATAGTTTGACAATTCCAAAAGATTGGAGCCAAGAAGGCCAAACTATTTTTATACAATTACATACATATATATATATATATATATATATATATATATATATATATATATATATATATATATATATATATATATATATATATATATATATATATATATATATATATATATATATATATATATATTATTGACACAAAAAATGTCAGAAGAAAAGGCGGAGAACAGCTCTTATGTGTACAGTACCGTGTATAGTACCGCATTGAATAGATTTCTTTTCTTAATTCTGAATTATCCCAGTATCATGCCTATATGATTCTTGTAAAATATTTTCTGTTTTCATAATTTAAGAGGAACTTTACAAAACCACGCATCACTATAATAGTTCCATCTTAGACTCTATTAAAAATGTAGACGCACCTGAAATAATATTCAGATGGTAAACTG